GAAAAACATCTCTTAAGCAAAAATTATTTTTTTTAGTATAATTTGGTAACTATTTTTTTTAAGATTTGTACCCATAATGTCGACACACATATAAAACAATTCATTGTGTTTCCTAGTAGGACAATTTAATTTTTTTTACCCTTTATTTTTCAATTATATAAATTGGCACAATGAAACTCAATAATCAAGTATCATAGCGTGGCGAAAGGGACTTGAGATATCTTAGATTATTTATAGCTCAATTTGAGTTCAATTTATTAGCTACATAAAATATCATACAWACTGTATTCATTTAAATACTGAAGAATAATTAATATACACTTGATTATGTACCTTAATTTACTCATAAAAAGTAATTTATACCTATTTAAAACATAGGTTCATAAAAATAATAAAAGCAAAGTAAATAATACTGTATTATTTACTAGTGTRTTTACTAATTTTTTTATTTAATCTATGACTTAAATAGATAAGCCATCTAGTAAAAATTAATTAAATTATCTTTAGTATTATAGTTAATAATTAAGCAAAAAACTAAATTTTTTCTAAATTTTATAAGATATATACTAAAGTATAGTTTAGCATATTAAGTATATGGGAAGCTATATTGGAAGAGAGACAAAACATGAATAAGAATTCAACCACTAGTGATCTTTGCTTGAAAGGTAAATGAAGAAAAAACAGTGATGGAAATATTAGGGAGACAAGAGACAACTAGACAAGAGAATTTAATTAATTAATTCAAAAGATCTCTGTACCACATGTATCAACCGACTGCAAGGTTATTGATTTGAAATGTATGGTTGATTGATCATTAGTAAATTGACAAAAAGTTAAATTATGGAGAGATTCAATTTTGTTAGAACTTTAAGTCTTTATGATTAAATAAATAAGAATTCAGATGTTTATAATTATCACATAGACTCAAAGATCTTGGTAGTATATATTTATAAATAATCATCATGTAAAACTAAATATTTGATTAATTTCTCCTAAAGAAATTTAAAATTAATAAAATCAAGATATATATCCATAATGTCGACACACATATGAAACAATTCATTGTGTTTCCTAGTAGGACAATTTATTTTCTTTACCCTTTATTTTTCAAAAATATAAATTGGCACAATGAAACTCAATAATCAAGTATCATAGCATGGCGAAAGGGCTTATATTATAAATCTTTATACATAAGTATCCATATTTTAGACAGGAGCGAAAGAAAATTGTAATATAGCTTAATTTCATCTTTTTTTCAAATGAACTATGTAGTCATCATATAAAATGAATACCAAATGTTTTTCTATTCTTTCAGAGGTGGGTGGTGATAAAACAATTGTCATCAAAGATAATCAGAAAAATAAGAAATATATCTCATCATAAAGAACAAAATTTACATAAACCTTATATAACGTGTAACAGAACCATTTAACAAATTTTCATTACAAACATAACTATATTTGTCAAATAGAGTACTGTTACACCTTGTATATCTATATAATATATTTATATAAAAAGCTTAAATAAAATAACAAAGTTCGGTTATATGACCAAAGAATATTTGAAATATATTATATTACCTATTATTAAAAAATATAATATAACATTATTATTATATTTTATATATAATATTATATACCATATATTATTCTGTGATATGACCATAGATATTACTGAGATAACAGTCAGGTGTAAGACATTATCTTAAGTAAAAAATCTATACTTTATTTAAATCAAGAGGAACCTTGGCTAGTGGCTACTRATTTGCACGAAAAGACGTGGACACAGATTTTCGACTAAGTAGGGTTGACAACCAAGGTGTTGGCAGAACCTGCTCAGCAAAAACTAGTTGCCTCAAGAGGTTCTTCCTCAATATTAATGAAGTCTAACATATAATTATTTTTAAGAAAATTGGCTATACAATATTTTTTTTGATTTGTACCCATAATGTCGACACACACATAAAAGAATTTAATGTGTTTCCTAGTAGGACARTTTATTTTCTTTACCCTTTATATTTCAATTACATGAATTGGCACAATAAAACCCAATTTAGGTAACATAGCGTGGCGAAAGGGCTTAAATTTTAAATTATTAT